AACTGCTAAAATGAGCGCCACCTGAGCGAGGCCGGAACTCCCGCCTCAACCCTTTGCTCCAAACGCGGAAATGACCCTGTTTATGAACGCTATTGGCTTGGTGTCTTTCCGCTGTTGACAGAGCATTCTGGGTAACGTAGTTCTCACAATTCCTTGATGGAGAATCAAACTCTATGGACCTGGACCACCCAGAACAAAGGGCAAGCGGCCAAGCGTGGAGCACTGGGAAATGGCGTCGCCACCTTTTACCCGCAGCTTCAGGTCACCCATTAGCCGCACATCCAAAACCCTCTCTTTCCATTTCTTTTCTGAATCTGGCTTTAGTCGTAGTCATAGACCGCTCCTGCGTTTTCCAAGCCAATAGCTAACTGGGTCCTCAAAGTTAGGACTGTGTCCAGCGGGAAGCGGGCTGGTCAGCGGCCAGGGCGGTAGCTCATGGAGGTCGGAAGTAGGCCTCGGTCAGCAGGGAGGACGGGAGCCCTGAGGGAGCCAAGGAGCTCTGGCCTCTGCAGCGCCAGCCCGGCCTGAGGCCCTGCCCCTGTGGGAATCACCTGCCCCACTTCCTGAGGTGACTGGACACCTGGCCTCTGGGGCCAACTCTGGAGACAGCCTTCAGGACTCTCCTGGGGAGGTGTGTCCTGAGACCCCCCACTTCCCTGCTCTGTGTTCGGAAATGCCAGATGCCTTCATTGTGTTCTAACATTGCTGCCTTATCCTTCATGGCCCTGACTTTCCCCTTCCTCACTGTCACCTAACAGGTGCCATCTCAGATCACACATGACTCCTCAAACTTTAAGCATGTATGTCCAGCAGGCAAAGAACTAGCATAATTCCCTGGATAACACAGGGAGCAGGGCTGACTTCTCTCAGAAAGCCAACTGTGTGTGGGTTGCCCAGAGGAGTCATTAAGGCCCCTGTTCTTGGGGCTCAGTCTGTTGAAAAGAGGGCCTGACACAGATAAGGAAGGTTGCAGTGGCCACTATGTAGTCATAAACTCCATTTAAGGCTAAACTTGCATATCGCCAGCAATCAACAACTATCAAAAGAGAAAGCTGTAAAGAACGTTGAAGATAGAGTTTAAGGGTCTAGTCATTTTCCTCAGGTTGACCCAGACTTGCTATGTAGCCCAGGCAGGTCTTGAACTCCAGATCTTGCTGCCTCAGCCTCCTGAGTGCTGGAATTTCAGGCATGTGCTACCATGCCCAGATTGCCATGTGGCATCTGTTAACCACAGCACCAAACTAACAGCCAGCATCATTTACCTCTCTTACAAGTTGACTTGCTTGGCATTCATTCACCTTTCATATGCAGAGTTCCATCTAAGGAAACATTTTCTCTAATCTTAGTTACCAGGCAACAGAAAACAAGTGACAGCTTGGGTGCTCCAGAGCCCACCAGAATCATTTAAACTAGCCAGATATCAGCCTGTTTACCCTGACCTGTCTTGCTTTTCATCTAGAACGCTGAATAAAGGCTAATCTCCCCCTCCACCTAAGGAAAAGACATGGTCATTTAAAGAACAGTGTAGCTAATGAAGATGATGTGATGGGGAAAAATGAATAACCAGACCAGTAGTCCTTTGGTAATAATATTACCTGGGCATAGTCAGAATGACTCAAGTCTTTTACCCATTTTTCAATTGGGTTGTCTTTTTCCTTTTGATTTGTTGGAGTTCAGTGTATATTCTGAAGTTGAGACCCTTTGATGGTTATGTGTGTTGCAAATATTGTTTTCACTTTGTAGTCTGCCTGAATTTTTTTTTCCATATTGGGGTTTGAACTCAGGGCCTCACGCTTTCTAGGCATGTGCTTTACCACTTTGACCACTACACTAGCCCTATTTTTAAAACTTCCTGCAATTTCCACTGATGAAACCAAACAATTAATGTCAGCAATTTTTGAGTTAATACATACATAATGTTCATGTTAGGTATCTTACAGGATTTATGATTCTTGGGACCCACCTGTCCTAATCTATATAAAAATTATACATTCCTAGCAAGAAACTTAAAATTATTAGTCCCTTGGGGTTGAGACTGTAGCTCAGTAGTACAGCAATTGCCTAGCATGGAAAAGGCTCTAGATTAATCCCCAGCAACACACACACACACACACACACACACACACTTTGTCACCTATTAATTGATGATGCTTGGAATAGTTGAATTTCTTGTGGAAATCAGAGACATGGTCATGACCAAATTTTCAAAAGTGTTTTGATTGCTTAGCAAGTAAAACAAAACTGGGAGAGTTGGGATCTCTGCAAAAGAAAACAAAGGTCTGAATGATGTTGGGAAACATGAAGGCAAAAACAGAGGTGGCCTGGAATATAAATAAGAATTTTCTAAACATATAACCATGGAAAGAATGAGTAAAAGGGATAAAAGGAGCTCATATTCCTCTGACCATATTGAAAACATGAATTGTCACCTCCTCTCACCCACATTTCATAAAAGAACGAAATTTGGCTGCCAATAATGGCAAAGGCAGTCTTACCAGAAAAGAGCACTTTCTAAAGTAAGTTGCCTTTATGAACTCTTTACTGCATTAGCTGCATTTTCCTAATTTTTGAGGACGGGTGTCATGAGCACTAAATCAGTGATCATGTGTAGGCCTGACCTTAGTCAGTCAGGAAACATTAGCATGGTCATTGTTACTAGTGGTTTCAAGTTAAATGGGCCCACTTTTTATGTGCCTTAAACTTATTTTAAAAGGAAAACTTGAATTGCTTTGGATAATGGAAAAATCTACTTGGCCACAAATGGAAATTTGTCCTCAAAGGACAATGATAAACTCAAAATTCTGCCATCGAATGCCAGTGAGCTTATTCCCCCTGCTAAGAGGCGAGTACCAGACTATTTCCTCTTTTGTGTCCTACTTTTCTTGTCTCTGTGACAAAATATCAGACAGAAACATTCAGAATTTATTTTGCTCTTGGTTTCAGGGTTTTCGATCTATCATGACTAGGAGGGTGTGGTGGAGCAGAGCTGTTCAACTCACAGAAGTCAGGAAGCAGAGCTAGTTAGTAGACTGGGGACCAGGTATAAGCTTCAAAGTCACGCCCTGAGTGATCCGCCTCCTAACATTTCCACAACCTACCCAAATAACACCCTTACCTGGGAACTCAGCATTCAACACATAAACCTGTGTTGAATTTCATGTTCATATTCAAATCAGAACAAATTTCATATTCAAATCACAACACTCATGGGAAAGGTAAACAAGCCAGACATCAGGGGTTAAGTACTGAAAACTGAGTGCAGAGTCAAGACTCCATCTTGACATCATTCATGGGATAAAGGAGGATAGTTTTTCTCAGGTTGTCCTCTAATACCTCTGGCATGCCTCTCTGCCCTCTAAAATCATCTCCTCCACCACTGAAAGACTAGATCCCAAGCCTTAGGAAACAAGGGTAGATCTTGTTGAAAACAGCAGCCTTTCCACCAAGATTTTGTTGAAGATACCCGTGGCCTGCATTACTCAGCCACTTCTCTGACAACAGCCTATCACCCAGGGATGCAGCTAATTGGGTTGCGGGCACATTTGGCTAGCCAGGGTGGAACAGTCAGTTTCTCTCCTCTGGATCCCGGAAGGACATTGAACTAAGGCTAGAATATGCTAGGCACTGCGGTGAGGAGGAAAGGCAGTGTTTGTTGCAAGACCAGGAAAAATTTGTAAGACCAGAACATGTTCGGAAAACAGCAGGCACTGTGGATAGAGAAAGCAGGTTCAAAACAGGAAGACTATTGTCACCCACATGAGACAGAGGGAAAACCTTCCTCAGCCAGACCAAGTGATCAGTCTGCATTCTCACCTTCCTCTGGGCCACTTCCTAGTTTATACTAGGTAAAGGTGATTGTCACTTTCTTGAAGGGCATCAATGTCTACCAAGTCAGAGGCAGGAAGTTGGCCTTGGGCTTTTGGAGATGTTTCTCTGTCACTGGGAAAGTTGCAGAGAGACCCAGGAGTTCCAAGGGCTAAATAATGTGCAGGACATAAGGGGGACGTGGACATTCCCTTGGGATGTAATGTTACTGTGGTTCAGAGAAAAGCCTCTGTGGTGGGGGAAGATGCCATTTCTGAGTCAAGGCTTCTACTACCCAGGCTCCCCAAGTCTCTTTCCCAACATTCCTACTGGACTCACATTAAACCCCCCCTACATGAACCTCTGGGTTGTGCCAAAGTGTGCTCTAGGCCCCATGAGCTGCTAGGTCCACTATCATGTCTGCAGGACAAGAGGGTTGTTCTCTCCCTGCCACACTATGCATACATTGTCACATTTAGTACACAGAGACCACATGACTGTGTGTGTCATGGAAATAAATGAAGACACAGCCACTCACTAGATTTGTGATACACTTTTACTAGAGTGACACTTGTTCATTTGTTTTGCTGCAGGCTCTTCCAGTTCTTGTTACACCTACCATTTCTGTTCATCATAGCTCATGCTTGGCTCCCACAAGCTTGAATTACACCATCTATGAAATCAGACAGCAGGGTATGTGTCTCCTGTGTAAAATCTAGGAAGAGTCTCCCATCAACAGTGCTGGGCATTCATTACATGGCAATCTTTGGGAACTAAACAAATTCATGCTATTCTTAGAAGCACTGGAGTTTAAAACTGACCCCTTTTCACAGTGACCTCTTGTTTCTCCAAAAATGAAGGTAGGAAGGCCACAAATTAGGGCCGGAAAGCCCTGCATGGTTTCCTAGGTCTTGGGCAGCAAAGCAAATTAGATCAAGGAATGAGAAATGAGAACTACTTTCTGCTACACTTTCCCTATGGAGACAGCTTGTTGATCCCTTCATCCAAACTTTGGAAGAGCCAAAATTTTTCCTCTCCTAACAAAATTAATAATAATAATGGAACCCCAAAGATTGCAAGTAGATTCAACAACAGAGCACTTATTAATGCATAAAGCAGAGTAGTATAAGGCTGGCAGTTACCCGTTGATGAACAGGCTAGAAAAATCAACTATATGTGTCAGGTGACATCAATAATTTCCAGGAAGTGAAGCCATTCCTGGAAGCCTCCAGCAGACTGAAGACCAGGTTCTCCTAGTAAATGTGTGTCATATGAATAGTTTAATCTGTCAGAAAAGGGAACAAATTCTCCCTAAAGTTTCAGGCTGATCAAGACTTCCTCTAGGGAATTAAACACAGATACCTGCCTTTCCTTAGCATGCTGGGATGACCAATGCACCCTGAGCAAGGTGATAGGGAAAATGGTTCTATTAGAGAAGCTAGCAGAGATATAACTGGCAAGGGTCCCAGTCAGTTCAGAATGTGCACAGCTTCTTTTCTAAGGCCTGACCTCATGGGGACTCTCACCCCCTGGATGCTTGAGAAGCCTGAAGTTTAACTTCATGCAGGTGGTTCTCTCACAGAGGCTCTCTAATATTGAAAAAAGAAACAACAACAACAAAAAAGAGCACATCCACTGCAGGCCCAAGTTCTTCATCAAGTGTGGTCTATCAGGAGCTAAACAATGTTAGATTTTGGGCTGAAGGTTTTTCCACATTTGTTTCTTTCATGAGTCCTGTCCATGCTATGAGATTTTCGGTGGAGAATGAGGCCAGAATGCTGTGTAAAAGATTTCCCACATTTACCACACTCATAAGGCCTTTCTCCAGTGTGAACTACCTGGTGCTGAATGAGGCCAGACTTTTGGATAAAGGACTTCCCACACTGGCCACACTCATAAGGCCTTAATCCAGTGTGAATTTTCTGGTGTTCCACAAGTGTATAGCTTTGTCTAAAGAACTTCCCACATTCACTGCACTTGAAAGGCTTTTCTCCAGTGTGAGTTCTCTGGTGTCGAACAAGTTTGGATTTGAACATAAAAGCTTTCCCACACTCCCCACACTCATAAGGCCTTTCTGCAGTGTGAACTTTGTGATGTTTATTCAAGGTAGTTCTTTGACTAAAGGACTTCCCACACTGGTCACACTCAAAAGGCCTAGCTCCACTGTGAATTAACTGGTGTTGAATGAGGCCATATTTTAGACTAAAGGACTTCCCACACTGGTCACACTCATAAGGCCTTGCTCCAGTGTGAATTATTCGGTGTTCAAGCAGACTATGGCTTTGTGTAAAGAATTTCCCACATTCACTACATTCATAAGGCTTTTCTCCTGTATGTGTTCTCTGGTGCCGAACAAGAGTAGATTTGGACCCAAAGGCTTTTCCACATTCATCACACTCATAAGGTCTTTCCCCAGTGTGAATTCTGCAATGTTCAATAAGGTTGGAACTTTGGCTAAAGGATTTTCCACATTCCCCACACTCATAAGGCCTTTCTCCAGTGTGAACTCTGTAATGTTTAATGAGTGTGGCTCTTTGGCTAAATGATTTCCTGCACTGGCCACACTCATAAGGCCTTTCTCCAGTGTGGATTCTGAGGTGGTCATTCAGGTGGGAAGTTTGGCTAAAAGATTTCCCACATTCATTACACTCGTAAGGCCTTTCTCCATTGTAGACTTTCTGGAGCTGAGCATGTGAGTACTTGCAGCAGTAGGCTTCTTCACATTTGGTAGATTCATAAAGCCTTTTTCTAGCATAGACTCCTGAGTGGTGAATATGAGTGTGTTTGAGGCTGCAAGCTCTTTTGCATTCACCCCACTTGTAATGGTTTATTTCAGTATGAAAGGTTTCCCCACACTCAGCGATTGTGTTTGGCTTCTCACCATTGGGAATGGCCTGGGGATGGAGAAATTGCAATGTGGATGCAAGGTCTTTTCCAAACTCCCCACAGGTGAAGGCCTTCCCTGACACATGGGATCTGCAGCTCTTCACAAAGGAGGCTGTGTCTAGGTCCCCTTTCAAGGTTTTCTCTGAGTTTTGACAATTCTGGTTCTGGTGATGGTTTGCACATGTGCCAATCAAGTATGGTTTCTGCCCAGTTTGATCAGCCAGGTGCAAAATGTCTTTCAAGACTGGGACACACATTTCACAGGGATGAGTCTCCTGGGTTGAAGGACTTGCCATTGGCATCCTGACCCATGATAATCCTTCTACAGAAACAGGATCAGAAGGTGTCTCTTTGTCCTCCATTCCATGCCAGCAAACTGAAAGCAGAGAAATTCTGATGAAATCTACAGTGACTAAAGTGGGAGTATAATAATTGTGCTTTTAAAATGTTGTGTGTATAAAAAAATTTTGTATCTTTGTTTTATTTTTGTGTGGTGCTGGGGATCAAACCCAACACTCCACACATGCTAGGGAAGAACTCTACCACTGAGCTATATAAACCCTGTTTTTTTACGTACCTTAAAAATCTTTGCTGAAAGCTAGGTATAATAGCACATACCTGTAGTCCCAGCTATTTGGAAGGCTGAGGCAGGAGGATTGTTTAAGCCTAGGAGATCAGGGCTGGTCTAGATAACATAGCAAGACTTCAACTCTTTAAAAAAAATACTTCTGGAGGGCCAGTCATGGTAGCTCATACCTATGATCCTAGCTACTTGGAAGGTAAAGATTGGGAGGATCATGGTTTGATGCCAGCCCAGGCAAAAAGTTAGTGTGATACTCCCCACCCCCATCTCAACAAACAAGCCAGGTATACTGGTGCCCACCCAGAATCCCAGCAACTGGAGAGGCACAGATAGGAGGATTGTGGTCTGAGGCCAGTCTGGGGAAAAAGCACAAGACTATGTGAAAAATAACTGAAGTAAAACTGGATGGGAGCATGGCACATGCTTGCCTAGCCAAGGCTGTGAGTTTAAACTCCAATACTGCCATGAAAAGGAAAATAAATACTGCTGGCTGGTCCAAAACAATGCAATCCTATTTATTTTTAGTGTGCACTAATTGTACAAAGGTGTTTCATTACGATGTTTCCAAGATCAAAGGGTTTAGCTGGGAACGTGACATTCAAATTAACCAATCCAGAATCCATACTGCAAAGCATATTTTCCATGTTTTGGACACTTCAGGATGTAATATTCCTCTGCCTTAGTCATCCCAAGGTAAGGCAGCAGAAAACTAAGGCCAGTCAGTCATTTGTCCAAAAATTTGTTGCAATTATTCAAACTACCCAATCCTAAACTGTTTACCATGTCCTGCCTTTTGTTTAGAAACTCCAACAAAGGATATGTTTTCACACTTTTCCCTTCTCTCTTGCTTCTACCTCCTGACTACCAGGCACTTCTTGTGGCCTGGGGTGATGTGGTATTCATATTTTCTTGGTATTATAAGTAATAAATTCTTCTATATGTGACATTAAGCTCTTTGTTACCTCCACAAGTTAAAATCCTGGGAGTGTATTTTAAAACCACAAAGGGGAAGCCTCATAATTCATATATCAAGGAACGAATGCCTGATGTATTAAGCTCAGAATGAGGGAACAAGAAGCAGGTAAGGAAGAGGCTGATGAGCAGTACTGGCCCTCTAACGATCACAAAATGGGGAGTCCTCACCAGACAAGGGACACAAGGATGAGGTATACCATCTGGAAGAGAGGCAATGTACTACTCTACAACAGCCTTCAGTGAGACTTTGTTATCTGATGAAAGACACATGCATGGTGTGCTAAAGTCTGTCAGTGTCCAGAACCAGGACAATCTACTTGGAACTTAGTAGAGATTCTGATTATGTTCAAGGAAGATTTAATGACATATGCATGCACACCTCACAATGCACGCATGTGGGTCAGTACTGGAAAACACCAGAGGGGGCAATACAGAGAAATGGGTGACACCTATCATGGTCTCTACTAGGTGCCACAGATCAAGGCCAGGTATGCTGAGACCACACTGCCTGTTCACCCTACGAGTCAACCAGGGCTCTCCTCAAACCCCTAGCTGTACCACTACATGTACCTTCATGAAGCAAGTCCTAAGGGAAAGACAGATGAGCTTTCAGCAGTCCATGTTACATGTAAATGCTGAACATGAGAATGCCTGCCTATAATTCCTGATACCAGCAGTCACAGGTATCACCTACAAAGAGCGCAGAACTTGGGACACAAAATTTGATGCATCTGCATACAGCAACCCAAAAAGAGGGAGTGAACAAGTAAAGTAAGGCCTGTTAGGCTGACTCAAGGCACCTGACTCCCAGACCCTTCTGGCACTCTTTGGGACAGCAAATATCAGGGCTCATCAGGGCAATACACACAGCTCATCCCTACACATGTGCCAACACAGTGGGGAAGTTAGCAGAACCTGTGATATGGCTTTCAAAAGGACAGAGCTACCTCTAGGGGGAAAGCGGATAAACAGAGACAAGCTCAAGACATGAGATATGTCTGATAACCTTACCTAGTGAGGCTACAAGTGCAAAGTTCTCCAGCATGACACTGAGGTACAGCAGCCTCTGAGCCTCATCAAGCAGCCCCCACTCTTCCTCAGAGAAGTAAATGGCCACATCTTCAAAGGTCACACAGTCCTGCCAGGATTAGGACAGATCTTTTCATGATCAGCTTCACTCCTAAAATCCCATGTTCATCCCCACAATCATTCTTCCCCTGCTTGACTCTTTCCTAATCCCCACCTCAGAGGAGATACTTGGTGGCACTGATACCCACTCTTGTAATGGTCTCATTGATCATTGTCTCCCACAGCACCAACAGGCATATGAGCTGGGAGATGCTATCTAAACTCTGGGGCTGGCATGCAGGGTCTACTAGTCAGGCAATTTTCCTGGGATTTCCAAATTGTGCCTCCCAGACACAAACACATAGGAACTCATCATTATTCTGACATCCTCAATGCCATGGCCATGGATCCTTTGGCTCACATTCCTTCCATGTAGAGTTTGGTCTGCACCACATTTCTCACACAGCCTCACTGCCAACTCCAGTCCCCAACCCCAGCCTGTCACATACCATAGGCATCCCTCTGCTCTCCCCAGGTTATTAACAACATAACCAGAAAGGATCTGGTCCTAATAGTCCCCACATACAGAGACAGTTCCCATCCTGCTTTGAAGGTCTCAATATTTGTCCATTTTTCATTAGCATAAAAGGCATTTTATAAAAGTAAGATACTTTATAAAGAAAATAGGCTTATTTGGGCTCATGGTTCTGGAGGTACAAGGTCTAGAGGCCTCATGTGGCAACCCAAGATATCAATGTCAAGAGTCAAGATGCATGCATATGCATACCATATATGTATATATATATGTGTGGTTTACTTTTTTTTTTTTTTTGGTGGTACTGGGGGTAGAATTCAGGGCAGGCAGGCATTCTGTCACTTGAGCCACTCTGCCAACTCATCTCTTTCTTAGAAAGCAAGCAGGATTCAATCACAGGGCCCCCATCTCAATGACTTAATTCAATCTAATTACTTCCCCCAAACCTCATCTCTAAACATCATAGTCAGATTACATTTCCATTCTATTAGCATCTGACACTGGGAATTGTATTTCAACACATGAAGCCTGGGGGACATGCAAGTCACATCCAAACCACAGCAGCAGCTCTGCCTGTCTTGTTTCAGCCTTAGTTACCCAGAAAATCTGCAGACAGATTTCAGACAAACATGGTTCTCTTCCACTTCACTACACTTGATAAACCCTCTCCAGTCTCTGTCTTCCTCTTCTCCTGGCTCTCACTCAATGCCCTGCTACAGCAGTCCTCTACCTTAGAAATAGTGACTCTCCTAGATGAATACCTGTGCCCCTAAACTTATGTACCTGACAAACTCCCCAAATATACAAAGGGTTACTACAAAATCCTGATGGATTTAAACTGCTGAAGAGACATTAATCCTTGCTTCACTGCCTCAATTACTCCTAGGACTTCACATTGATCTTACATATAGTCATCTCCTAGAGCACTGGCAACTTGCCAGGTTTCATGCTCCCAGTGTCCACTTCTCTCTCAGGCCTGTCTTCTTGATTCCCACAATGACCACCCAGGTACTAAAATGTAAGTCCCAGCAGTGACCCCACCTTCCCTTCCCCAGACTATAAATAGCATTAGCAGCATGAGCAGGTTCCACCTCTTGAATTGTTACCCAAGTTACAGCCCAGAGTGAATACTGATCACTACTTTTGGATACCTCTATCCTGAATCCAGATTCACTCTCCACAGTTCTAGTCTTGTGTAATTAACTATTTGATGTCCAATCTAATTGTTCCCTGAAACATCTCAGAGTCCAAAGATGGTCCAAAAAAAAATTTCTGGTATTCTTCATAACAGCTGACCCTACAACCAACTTCTCCCTTCAACCAAGTATGGAAGTGGGGCTTCCACACTTCTACCTGCTAAACCCAAGTGCCTTGCTTTCATAAACCTCATCTCCTAATTTTCTCTTTCACTCTCAATAACTGCAATTTGTTAAAAAAAAAGTCTATAATCCAAGAACTACTACCTCAATGGCCATCTGGACTCAGCACTCACCTGAATTACTGCAGTAGCCTTTTCCTCACTTTTCCTATCTCACAACTTATCTGTTCTCCATGTTGTAGCCACAGGGAGCCTAATAAAACCTGGGTCAGAACACTTCTTTCCTCTTCCCCAAAACTCCCATTGCTTACCTCACTTCAGAAGAGACCCCCATTATAGGACCAACTCCCACACTATCTTTTAGTTCCTATAAGAAACAAAGGAGTCATAAATGAACTCAGCCTCATCTTCAAGCATTTGTTTTTCAGGTAGCTAAGCCTAGGATAACCTTCCACACTTTTCTGCACTGATTTCCAACAACAGGAACCACTACATATAGTCCCAGCTTGGATGTGTGACTCCTGGGTTTGGTGGGTTAGGCCTAAGGACTGGAAAGCCTTGAGAAGAGTCCAAGAACATAATAATCCCAGAGACAAAGAGTAAGGTTATCACCAGTGAGGCCCTGGAACACATTTCTACTCACCTGTGTTAAGTCTATAAGTGCTTCTGTAGTCATGGGTACCCTAGAACACACTCTGCTCATCTGTGATAAGTCCGTAAGCACTTCTGTAGTAATGGGAACCTATGGGAAGAGGAAGGCGGTGAGAGGCAAGTGATCACGGTAGGGCTCCATAGGCTTAGGGCACTTGTTCCTCTGCCTTTTAATCCTCAGTGCTGGCTCTTAACTACTGTGAGAACTTGCACAAAGTCTCAACCTTTCCTGGGTCTCGATGTTATTCCCTTTTAAGCTGTTCTCACTCTTAACGGCTTATACAAAAGTTTGAAAAGCCTAACTCAAAGCATGTGCCTCTTCTGTGCACAGCACTCTGGCTACCAGCATCCTGAAAACAGAGACAAAATACCTCACCTTGCCATTCCTGGCGTGAATGCTCCCGGCTCAGACATCCCATGATACACAAACTCCCACACCTCATCTTACCGGCTGTCAGAAAGGGAAACTCCAGTCCTGTGCTCCGCACCGTTCTGGGCACGGATTTCTACTGCAGTGACGTGAGCAGGCTCCTCTAGGGGTTCTAGGACTTCAGGGAGGTAAGGGCGAGGGCGGCCCACAGCACTTAGCACTTACCTGAATCAAGTCCCTCAGCGTGGCCGCCGCCATCAGATTGTGCAGGTGCAGCGGAGACCGGCACGGCCTCCACTGCCGCCTTTCAGACAGGTGAGCAACGGGGACAGCACCTAATCTGGAGTAAGACCCAGCGCTCCCAACTCTGACAGACCGAAAACCTGTAAATAGCAAAAAAGATGACTGTTCCGGGAGCGGCGCCGGAAGTCCCGCCCCATCAGAGGCAGAAACGCCCGTTGCTGAGCATTCATTGGCTTAGCAATTTTGTCCTTGCCGCTCTGCACTCTGGGTAGCACAGTTTTCACAGCTCTTTGACCCCACGCTCTGGTTGACTTTCCCGAACAACTGCGCAGCCCTCCGGCGTGTGGCGCTGGAAAAAGGCGTCCCGGCCTTGAAAGGGTGGGGGAGGGACTTTGCTCTTCTTAAACGGGTCGCAGGCAGGCGGGCGTCGGCGGAGTCTCTTCTCCAGGTGAATGCCCAGGTGCCTCGTCAAGCTAGGATGCTCCTAACAGAGTTGTCTGCGCCTCTGGGGTCTCCTGGGGGAGGTCCTGAGAGACACCGGATTCCACCCCCCCACCCCCCACTAGGGGCTCCTCCTGCCTGGAAACCCCCAGAGCCCGATGGTGGTGAGAGTCGGGATTTCTACACAGAGAACCGCAGGGCTCAGTCCAGGGAGTGTCCTGGAGGTGCGGAGACCCTGCTTTGTGACGGCTGGGTTCCCCTGGAGACCAGGTAGATTAGGGACCATAGGCATGGGAACCAGAAGCCAGGAATTCAGAAATAAAGGTAGAACTGGAGCATAACCTAATTCAGAGCACGCATGCATTTTTCTTTTAGTCTTCAATTCGCTTATTGAGTTGCAAAATAAAATAGAAGAGGAAACCCCTGATCTTGCCCTCCTGATCAGTGTGTCCTGAGAGCGAGGCAAGCAAAAGAAAAATGCTTACCTTGAGGAAGACACCCTGTCTTAAAAGAACATCTAGTGGAAAATCATCATTTGTTCGAAGGGATGGTTTGGGAGAACAAAGGTCTATGTCACAATGACCCAAATAGTAATAAATTCATCAGACTTAACATCTCTGAGCTGATTGATAACGTTAAACACTGTTATTACCAAAATGATTCAAATGTATCAGTCCCCCCCAAACAAACAAAACACCACCTCTAACAACAACAACAACAACAAAACTCCAGTGATCTAAAGGAATGTTTAAACCAAAACCCTACCCCATTTTAAAATACAAATATCCCTGGTGGTGGAACCACTTCTGGCGTTCCTCTCAATGCCCACACTTTGCCTGTGGGGTGCATTGTGCTTTGCTTTCTGAATGAAACTTATCTGGCCTTATGTCTGGGTCTGAAATTCCTTCCCCACTGGAGACAGGAATCTGTGGGACTCAAAACTTGAGGCCTCCTCCCTTTGGGGGACCTCTGAAGAAACCCACCAACCCTTTGTAGCACTCCAGCGTCTCTTTAAGTCTGTCCTGCTATCTCTGGACACTGCTTGCTGCCTTCCTTTTTTCCCTAGGGGGCCTCATCAAAATGGCTCCCCTGACTTGAACCACATGGTTCTTGGAGCAGGGATGCTGAAGGAAGAGAGCCTCTTGTGGACCAGCTCCTGTGGATAGCAAGGAAGGCTAACAGAGCAGTCCACTACTGAGGGAAGCTCCACCTATGACCTGGATGTCTGGCATGGTTCCTAGTGTGTCTTCCAAGAGTCTGAAAGCAGCCTAAAGCATGATGAATTCCTTCTAAGGAACTGGCCCACAGATATCATGAGACAAACTTGAAAAACACTTGGAGAAAATTCACAGGGAGAAAAACCCTCTGAGACAAAAGGGTGGAGATAGCCTGAGTGGAGGCCACTGGGGATCATTCAGCTTTGGATTCCTCTTGACTCTTTCATCAGGTTACAGAGCTGCCCCTCCAGGGAAGGAGCATGTCTCTTATGTCACCCTGTTACTGCTAAGGTGAGCCTTCTGGGGTCTCCACTGAGCCCAGGCTGCTCAGGTGTTTCCCTTCCAGTCAGGATGCTAATACCATCATCTCACCTTGTAAAGCCCAGACAACCTCTGGCCAGTTCTCAGCCTGCAGTCCTTCTCTGCTGAACCTAGGAAATCATACTCTGCTCAGGCATGCTCAGTTTTCCACCAAACACACTAGTTACCCCATGCAAATTCTAAGACTTCTCTGTGCATTTCCCAATTTGTCAGGCTAACACTTGAATTCCTGTTGCCTTTTTAGGCCCGAGCTCTAAGTACTTGGAAATCCACAAAGAGCAGCATGACACCTCAAACCTGTCTCAAGAGAGGAAGAAAATATTTCAGCAGGAGGAGCTCTCTTCCTAGAACCTACTTGAGTGAGGTAAATTACTTCATAAGCCAAATAAGGAGAGAAGAAAATCTTAAAATGGTAGGCTTAAGTGATATTTACTTTATTTCAAATAGGATGTGTCCCCTTCCTGATGGAGATTTATTTTGCTAAGTGCATTTGCTTGCTGGAAGAATCTGGATGTTCCTAACATCATCTGGGGAATGGAAGAGATGCAGTGGAAGAAGGGACTAACCATGTGAACTGCACATTTGATTAGGATGACCAGCAGAAAAGGAGCAGGGCACTTGACCAGCAGGAAAGGAGCAGGGAAAGGGAATTTGGGAAACAGCAGGAGCATATTAGATAAAATGTCAGCATCGTCATTGGGGTGGTCATATTAAAAACACAGTGATATTGTACTACTCCACATCTCTCAGGGTGATTACTAAAACATAAACTGTTGGGAACCAAAAGCCACAGTCTGACAAAGTCACTGTGGCTTAGCAGCATTCCAACAAGGTCGGAATCTGCAGGTGCACCTTATCTCTATCACAGTGGGAAGGAATGCTAAATGGTTTCCCTTGACTGAAAAGAAGTTTATACTTAGTCAAGGACATTGGCAGTAAAAATGCAGGGTGGCAAAAACAGAAAGGTTGTAACTAGGTCAGAGTGTTTTTGATGTTTAAGTCTCTTTCTCTTTTGTATAACCCTTGCTGAGAAAAATAAAATTTTGCCAATTGGTCACCAGCCTTCTGGTCATATATCTTGTCATTCCCTTTCTGAGTGAGTGAGTCCTTTTGTGTGTCGCATCTGTTCATTCCTTTCCTGAGTCCTTTCGGGTCAAGGACCTCTGTGGTCCCAGCAATAAACACAAAGTAATAACAAGACTGGAGGGAAATTGAAACTCTCATATGCTGGTGGTGGGAATGTAGAATGGTGCTGTTATTGTGGAAAACAGTTTAGCAAGTTCCACAAAAAGTTAAATTTAGAAATTGCCATCTAACAACACAGTTCCACTCCTTGGTACCTGCTCTAAAGAACTGACATTGACTCGAACAAATACTTGTACACTGATTCATATAGCAGCACTGCTCACAGTATCCAAAGGTGGGAATAACCTTAAGTGCCCACCAACAAATAAATGCATTTTTGAAAAGCAATACATTCAGACAATGGGATAGTATTCCATCACAAAAGGAATAAAGTTCTGTTCTCTGTCACAAAATGATGAACTTTGAAAAGTATGCCAAGAGATATATGCCAGATACAAAATGACAAATATTGTATGATTCCATTTTTATGATATATCTAGAATGCAAACTCAGAGACAGAAAGTGGATTAGAAGTTACCAGGATCTGGAGGGGAAAGGAGTTACTGCTGAATATATGCACAATTTCTGTTTAGGTTTATAGAAAGTTTTAGAAGCAGATAGTGGTGGTAGATACACAGTATTGCAAATTTACTTAACACTACTGAATTGTAAACTTGAAAAGAATTAAAATAACAAATGTTACATTACATATAATTTTCTGCTGTACACCAAAACCCCAAAGTGATAGATTTTCCCCATATCCCCAAACTCAAAATTATTCCCCTATTACACTATTTCAAAATTTCACGAACTTTTCCATTAAAATTTGAGTAGTTGTTGTATTGTATAATCACACATAAACTTGTTAGATTTTTCATATGATTTATGATTTCTAGGACCTAACTCTCCTGTTCTATTTGGATTTTGTTTTGTTTTAGACAAGGCATCACACTGTAGCCCAGGTTAGCCTTGAACTCACGATCCTCCTGCCTCAGATTCCTGGATACTGGGATTACAGGCATACACCAGCATACCAGGCCAACTGTCCCATTCTACATAGAATGACATATTCCTGTAAATATTGTGAAAAATATTAGTACCCTAAATATTAACACATAATAGGAATTATTGAAATATATGCAGAGAAGAGTCATATGATCATCATCAAACTAGGAAAAGGCAGCTTCCTTAGGTGGCAGGCAAAAAAAAAAAACCTCAGAGAAATGAGTATCACTATAAATGAACACAAATGGCAGAATACTGGGAAACATGAGGACAAAATTATAGAGGTGTTCACCAGCTAGTGGCCTGGGATTACAAACAGAGTAATCCAAACATGCAAAATAGTGGAGAATGAGTAAAAGGGAAAAAAAGGAGCTCACCAGGATCAGGATGGTGCCTATAGCTCTGGCCTCATGGTCAGGTCTGGGGGAGAGGAAGTGGCTGCGAATATGTTGGACTTGCTGCTTGTGTCTGTGCAGGAAAAAGAACATGGAGCCACTGGCACAGGCCATGAAGCCCAAAGTCAATGATGAAGAATAAGAATACAAGTAGAAACTTTATATATCTGTCTGGATTGAAGGAGGGACAGAATCCATAACTTATTTTCACACTTAAATTTCTCCTGTTCATCAGACCAATCATTTACCAACAGATGCATAGCCCAGCAGAGGAAACTTTAGGAGCCAATGCATTTGGGGGATCTCATTCTCAGCTCCAACCACTTAGAGAAATTGGGGGAAAGTTTTATGGCCTGGAAGCCACTGAAGAGACAGGTATTGCTGGAGGAAACCCCTCTGGCCACTCTATAAAAAGAAAAGAAGTTTACATTCAGTGTCATTCAGGAAATAGTTCAATCCAAAAGTTGCCATTGTCTGAGGGATTCCTGTAGACAAGAGAACAAAGGAATTAGCTGAGACCAATTGGTTAAGAATTAGGTCTATGAGTCTGACCTTTTGTCCAGTGAACAAAGTGAAGTTATAAAGAAAAGGAGGGAGATATTTCCAAGCATTCCCACTC